CCCCCAGCACCTCATTACCAAAGTTGCACATCTCCAGCCTCATTATCATTCATGTGGTTGCACAGGGGTAACTGAGGGCAAAACTTGCCCTGCCAATGGAACCAAGCAATGATTCTCCTGTTGATGCACCAGCTTACTCTCCCTTAGCGGTGTTGGCACTGCAGTACCCACAGGAGTACAAAACCCCTGGGCAGGATGAGAGAATGAACCAGACATGGTAGCCACAGTGCTTTCATGCACTATTGGAAGGCCCTCAGATGTAACATCGATGAGGGCTGCAGGATTGACTTATTTGTAAAACTACTCAAATTGTAAGCTCTTTGAGGTAGGGCTAATTGTTTTGTGAGAGGAAGAATGGTTCAGTGATTATTACACTAACCTAGGACTAGGAAAGAGCAGGTTCATTTCCCTACTCTGTCACAGCGTTTCTATATTACTGTGGGCAAATCATTTACTCGCTGTGCCTCGTCATGATTTTATAGATGGGGAAGGAACTCTCAGGGGTGTTGAGAATAAATACACTAAAGATTGAGACTTACTGTAGTAACGGAGGCTGCATACCACACCTAGCACCATGGGGCTCCGATTCCTGGTGAGGGCCTCTAGCTACTACTGCAAAACAAGTCATTTTTTTTTGGTCACTGCCCTTGGCAGATCTGTCTTGGGGACAGACCTCCTCAGGTAAGAAGGTACATTAGGGGCAGGATTGGAGTGAAATGTGAGAGGTTTGAACAAATTGCTTTAAGACCAAAAGCATGACGGTTAGCAGCAGGTGGTCTGAAAGAACACTAGGGTCTTAGTGGGTGAGTGCTTTGGCTAGTGAGAGCAATTGCTTCAGTAACCCTGCTCTGCTCCCTTTATTGTAGGGTTGGGAAAAAGGAGTTGTGTTTGTCAACGGAGAGAACCTAGGACGCTACTGGAAAATCGGACCCCAGGAAACACTCTACCTCCCTGCAACTTGGCTGCAGCCTGGGAACAATGAGGTGAGAGGCTCTCTATTAAACATGCTTATCAGATTCATGTCTGTCTAAGGCCAGCTAGGAATGCTCAGTGCCTTAAAAACTGTGACTCTACAAAGCCTGGGGGGTAGCTCTTTCTGAAGTTGAGATTCAAGTTAGAGCAACACTGTTCCTTGGCTGTCAGTAAAAGAAAGCAGCTGTGGTGAACATCAGTAGTGTATATAGAATTTGAAGGGCAGCAGAATTTAAATAAAATGCAAGACCACCTGACTTGGGACTGGTGTTTGCTGTGAAGTCTTAATACAGCTCAGGATGTCAAGTGATGGGAGTCTGAGTGGAGTGTATGGATCCAGTGGGGTGGTATATTGATGACTTTACCTTCACTGGGAGCCTCCTGCCCCAAAAATATTTCCCTGAGGGAAAGAGCAGTGATTGTCATTTTAAAGGGATTTCCCTCCTCCCATCCCCAATCTCTTTATTCCCTAGATTATCGTTTTTGAAGAGCGCACCGCAGGCCGGATCATACAATCTGTAGATATGCCTTATCTAGGAAGGACCCACTACATGGACTGAGCAGGAGAACTGCCTCCCGTTGGGTTCATCTTGGATATTCCTTGGTGTATGTGTGGGGACACATCAGTCCAAGTACAGACTGGCTTGTTAATTTCCACTAGACCTGGGTAAAGGATTTGCTCCCTGGCAACAAGTTTAGGGGGATAGACTTGGAGCACCCTGAGAGGTGAGTCCATCACTTTCTCCCAGGACATCTAGCTCTCCAAATTCAATATGACAGCTGGCCGCCAGCTTGGATCAGTGGCTGTGATGTAATGGGCAATCCAGGGATAACGAGTAAATAGGGTATTGTGGGGGAGGGAAACATCTGAGATGAGCCCAGCCCCTGCCTGAGATTAAAGCATTCTATGTGGGCATCTCTTGTTTGATTAAAAGGGGAGAGAATTTCTGTGATAAATAAAAAAAAACTGGCTGAGGAATGCTGTGCTGAGCTTTCAGGCAGAATTGAAACAGCCTTTCTGTGTAGAGAAGGGGCTTGCTTTGTTCAGTTTTTGGAATCCTGATTGGATGTTAACAGTTAATTTTTAATATTCTGAGGTTCTCTTTTGTGGAAAAAAGACATTTCTAATGTTACCTGTGTTTCTTCTCTGTCAGCCTCCGCCAGAGCAGGACTGTCGTGTCAACCTAAGGTTCCAGTTTAGGCAAATTATGAACCTTCCAAAGAGCAGGTTCAGAAGGGGGAATGGATAAGTAGCCCACTGCTTCAGTTTTTTAATTAGTAAAAAGTTTGTATGGTGAGTACATGGCTAAGTAATATACTATCAGCTGTAATACTCCATACCATAAGGGGCCCAAATCCCATCTACCCTCAGGGAGAAGGATGCATGAGCAAGGTTAGCCTTGAAAGGAGAAAACATCCTCCTGTGTGTAAACAGGACCCAGACTTCAGCTGGTAGAGCTAGAATGGTTACATGGGAGAACACAACTCAGAGCTCCCATTGTTACAGGAACCTAACACTTTTCTCTGGGCTTCTTTTTAAACTGATGTAAACAAACAGGAATAAGGGATCCTGGGAAAGAAGCACAGTGGGGATTATGTTAACTCCCCACCCTGGCAATCCCCAGCTGGGTTCCTGTTTGACCTGTCAAATATTGCAAGGAGCCAGTGCTGTCTCTGAAAACCTGCTCACCTTCTTTCCCCCGCTTAAGGTACAGGGAAGATGGTTTAAATACCCTCTGGCTGTCAGTGTAGAATTGGCGGTGTCCAAGAGCTGCTCATCTCTCCTGCAACCAACATGCCCTCTGGCCTAGAGGAGTCAGGTCAGTACTTATGGGAGCAGTTAGGCCTCACTACCATAACCACCTGGCAATGGCAGTAACAATCAATTTCAAGGGAATTTTAACCATTAAAAACCATATTTAATTTTATTTAACAAATTAAATACAGTTTAATTAAAACTGAGAACAGACAGTGCAGCTGTAATACACTCCATCCTCCGTCCCAATCAGTGCCTGTCTCACCACAGCATCTGTACCTCTGCTCTCCCGGCAATAACCACCACACCAGCTGGAAAGGCCTGGCTCCTGTAGCTGACTTTCTGAGGAGAGTGGAGCATATTTGTATTTGCAGGGTTGTCTTTAGGACTTGGTCCTTTGCATTTCACCAGGAGTTGTTCCCTACAGAGGATGGAAGGCTGCAATCCAGCAGGGTTATTATAATAAACAAACAGACATGCAGCTAGGACATCAGTTGAAAACAACTTGAATATCATGAAAACTTTGTATCCCTTTTGAAAATACCTTTTTTTCCCCCTTTAAGATACACAGACTGAGCGCTGCACTTGGGAGGCTTGTAAAATAGTGGAATAAACCTGCTTTGATGCAGAGCACCACTGTTTAACATGAGCTAACAATGGCTGTTCCCAAAATGCAAGTGGATACCAGTTGCATAAAATCATTGCTATCCAGTTTGGATTTCAGCCATTGTATACAAAGGAAGGTTTTCACAGAAGCTATGTAGCAAGGCTTCCATGAATGGAAAGTAAAGAACCTTATCAGCTAAAGAAGGTAACTTTTTCCCCAGTGATTGTTTTGATAAATACAGCAGGGAAAATAAAAAATTCCACAAACAATTTTTTTTGTTTTTTAAATATTAGGAAATATAGATTTGGCATTAGTCCAATGAGTGATTTCTGCCCATTGAAGCTAATACTCTGCAAGAAATATTCTATATGTATTTTAATTTTTATATGCTGTTAAGGGTTAAAAAAATAAGTGAGTCTCTTTACAGGTTTACATTTTCCCTTAATTCACATGTAAAATTGTGCTTCAGACTTTTCCACAAGAAGGGGAGATTGATTAGATTTTTGAAGTCTGACCAGACCTAAGCAGCAATCTAGGAAATCCATTTTTTAAAGGGGCTAGATAGGAACGGATTAACTTCCTTTTGTGTGTCAGCCTGTCAGTGTGTCCAAGTCTCAGACACAGAAGCATCACCTAAGAGACTGCTTCCCCTTGACTCTTGATGTCTCTCTACCTTACACAGAACAGTCAAAAAAAATCCACCCAGGTAACTTTCTTCTGCAGGAAGAAGCTTTGCACCACAATGGTTTCAGGTATTTGAAGTTATTTGGGTTAAGGTTATTTTGTGCTGTTTTGTTCAGATTATTTCTTTTCAATCCACTCTTTGGGCAATTAGGTGTTGGAGCACCAGTGAGACACTGTTGGGGGAAGCTAGTAGAGCACTGGGCCATCTTAGTATAGGTGAGCACACCAGTAATAGCAGGTATGGAACTGCTCCAGTGGCTTTTTATGGGTACCATGAAATGGACATATTTAAAATCAACACTAAATGTACTCAAGAAGGTGGGGAGTAATAGATGGAAGGGGGTTTGTTTGTTGCTGAGTGATTCCTTCTTTTACAGTGAACATTGGAAATTAGGCCTAAGGTAGGAGTTGGAGACAATAGCAGCATTCAGTGAAATGCTGAGTGGTTCCCTCCCATATTGTTAAAAAAACACTTCTTGAGGTAGGTGCGCACTGCAGGGAGCCCGACACCTAATACTTGTCTCAGTCAAGTTAGCATTAGAGATAGGCCTGAGCCACAGGATTAGGACCTACCTCCAGTTAGTTTAGCAGGGATGGTGAACATGGGCACAGGTGCTGTAAACAAATCAATACAAGTACACAGAGGTATGTCAAATCAGTCAGACCCCCTCCAAGCCATGGAGCTGATGAAAGGGGGATGGGTTGGAAAGAACAGAGAGATTGTTGGTTAGCTATTACCTGCCTTGCTTTTCTCCCTCCCCGAAACCCAGTCTTGTGCCGTGTAATAAATACTGAATAACCTAGGTTCAAAATTAAGGGCCAAGGTGCCATCTCCACAGCCAGAGAGCTGCTGAGGCTGTTGCACACAGACACAAGGTATAGGTCACTCCTTGTGGTGCTTCTCATCCTTGCTGTGAAACCAGCTCCAGCTGGGCCTCCTCCCGAGTGCATGGTGCCCTGCACATGCTCCTCCCAATCCAAGCAGCCCACAGGCTTTGCACCTTGTACTGAAGGTGAGGTCAGTGCTACGGTTTCTGTGCTTCTCCTCTGTCTCCAGAGGGCCCGGTTCTGTTCAGAGTCCAGGAGGAAGGGCGGGAGAGTCTGAGCAGTGCAGGTATGGTCGGTTGTTCTAACTTGCTTGTTTTTCATACATTTAAAACACTTGGAAGTCAGGAGCGGTCCTGGCAGCTGCTTGTGTGTCTGGCTGGCTGCTGTAGAGAGGAGCCTGAAGAATGAGAGAATCTTCTGCAAAGGAAAGACAACCGTGGGTGCATTACCCCTCTATCTCACTGCAGCTAGCCCAAGCCTGTCTGAGAACATGGTTTTTTGACTGTTGCTGCTAGGCAACTGGGTGTTGGCGAAAGTAGTATGACACAGCCCCAGAAAGCAGCTATACATAGCAACAGCAGTGCAGGCTTCCACCACTGTGTCCCCATGGAGCATGCAGTCTCTGGAATACCCAGAGTGCGGCTTAGTGGGACTTCGCTGTACTGTAGCAGGGTCCACAGGGTCCTTTACTGCATGGCAAGGTGGTGCACTATACATTAACAATGTGGCTCGCCGTGCATAGAAACCCTCATTGTAAAGTTTCCTTCTAAGCCTTTCCCTCTTTCAGCACTATACTCTCCATTTCATCTAATCTCAGGTTTCCTTTTCTCTTTTACTGCCCCCTCAATTAACCAGACCATTATCCTCTCCAGATTTTTTCACCCTCATGTTCTAAACACTTTCCTTTTCTGGGCCTTATTTTCCCTTTAAATATCACCCCATCCTTTACACTACTCTCAAACTTGGCTTTCAGAGAGAGCATGTTTATACTTCCCTTGAAAAATTTCTCTAGCGCTTATTCTTTTCACTCAGTCCTCTCCTCCCTCGGGGTAGATACAGGAGGGTGTACCTGTTTGATCTCCGCTCAGCCATGCAGCATCAGATTTCCACGTTGGGATCTGTGAAGCCTTTCTTTCCCTCGTTCACGAGCACAGGTTTTTCCGTCCTTGTGTGCCAGACTAAAATCTGAACCAATCCCAAAGAAGTCATTAGCTGCATCTCTGCGTTATACTAACAAATAAGCTTGCACATTAAACTAATAGTGCTATTTAACCACATACACTCGAGTGTAATGGTGCATTCACAGCCTTAGGCAGATTTGCCTATGGCCAGTGACATCTCAAATGCACCATGTGCAAAAAATACCCATTTGACAGTATGCTGTCTCAGGCCATTAACCTGCTCCTTCCATCTATTTATCAACCAACCTCCACTAAAGACTTATCATCCTTTGGGCTGTTCGATCATCACTCTGGAATCAAAATTCTTGTGTGTGTTTACAGAGACAAACACCCCCCCACCCCAACTCAAAGTGTTGAGGCTGCAGCTAGAGATGTAATTTCCAGCTCAAGTAGGTGTGTATGTTGTGCCTTTGATTGAGCTAGCAGGCTAAAAACAGAAGTGTAGTCACCATGCACAGGCTAGCACCAGAGCATAATCCTGTCTCAAGATCCCAGCTGAAGCTGCAGCCTATGCCATTGTGGCTACTTTCCTATTTTTATCATGGTCACTCAATCAAAGCTACTGCATGTATGTCTACCTGAGCTAGCAATTATTACAGGCCAGCTGCACCTAATTATACCCGTGGTGGCTGCATATCAAGCCACTACAACAGCATCGTCCACACTGTACAACAGACAGCTGGGCTGAAAATAGAAAGGCACTTTCTTGTGCTCTATGCACTCGTTGCTGTAACTACTAGGTATAACAGGAAGGAAACAGAGTTCATCAGTTCAGACCACCATCGATATAGACTGAAGCTATCCCAGGCCTGATTCTCAGAAGGGATCAGTACCTTTGAAAAAGCAGAACTGGAGGGGCTCTCACTTCAGATGTCGCTGACAGAAAAGCTCCAACTAGGGAGTTCACTATCCATTTATTCTTCTAAAGCATCCCCAAGAGACTGGGTGACTGTTGCTTTGGGATCTCTTCCCTTTCTTTTCTGATTCTCACACTGGCTTAAGGGTAGTTGACTGCAGGACACAGGGCTCAGTGCTGGATATCTGCTTTGGACGTTTTGGGGTGCATGCATGGAGTAACCCTGCTGAAAATCAAATCCTCTGGAAACGCCAGGGACCAATGGGTTAAATTTCACGCTCATCAGCCTCTCATGTTCTGTGCTGTTCATTAGGTCATCAAAATCACAGCTCGCCAACACACTTAGGCTACATTCCATTGCAACCAGATGTGCGAATGGGAGCTTGGGTACACGTGCCTGCTCTAGAAGTGAGTATGCCACTGCATATGCCCACCCCATCCTGACACCTCCTCCCCCAGGTATGGAGGCACTGTTGAAGCCCACCCTGCATCCTGACTATTTTTAGTGAGCTAGTTCAAGTACAGCTAATAGAGGTACATCTACACAAGCTAACTGGGGTCCCAGAGCAGTGAAACTGCAGCTGCCCATGCTTCAGTGGGGGGTGTGCAAGTCCACCCATAATCCTGGATAAATGCTCAAGGGGGTTTAGTGCACGCTGCTACCGCTTCACTGCTCTAGGGCCTGAGCTAGCTCAGGTGTGTGTCTACATGAGCTGCAATCACACCCTGTGACTACAGTGTAGACATAGGCTGAGATGCTACTACCTTGCTTGTCCAACCCCCTGGGCCATGGTACTGTGCTGTCACCATGCCAGAAAATGCTGTTCCTATACTTCGCTACACTGTCTTAGGCAGTGGGCCATTACCTACATTGGGGGGGGGGGAGGGTGTTTAAAGAGGCCCTATTAATCCAGTTTAATACTGTTTGGCCCTACTTACACTGGCCAGACAAAGCATATTAGTCTGCTGCTGTTAAAGCCTCTAACCCAATTTGAGCCTATTCATAGTGGCCAGCTAAACAGTATTGGGAAATAGTTCTGCACTGATCTCAGTGTGGTATACAATGTAGAACTGGATACAAAAAATAGTTAAGTGAACAATTTCAAAATTGTCAGATTCGGACTGGATTTCTAGAAATGAAAATGATAGTTGTTGGGGCTTTCCTCTGAAAAAAGTGGCAGGGGAAGGAAAGAAATCTTTAAATCAAAACTTTCACAAATGAGAAATGTATTCAAAAAACACCTTTTTACTTGGGGAAATTGTCTCACTCAAAAGATTTCTAGCTGCTCTATTAAAATGCCTATAAGCAGACAGAGCTGGAAGCTGGTTTACATACTCTGTACCACCCTAAAATAAAGGTTACTTCTTACTGCTCTGCTCCTAGCACCTGAATTCTGGTAGCAGTTAGGTCCCTTCAGAGCTACAGCTTCCCGTTTTTCATACCCGGTTTGCACTGATATTTCTTACCTTGTGAGGGCTCCCCTCTTGTTGCTATGACAATACACTGCATGTTTAATCCAAGCTTCCATGATCCATTTTGTACTCAAAGGTGCTGGCTTGCTTTTCCTTAGACCTGCAAAAGCATGTTTTGCTTCCCAAGGATGAACTCGGCACGTTCCTCTTGCCTGTGGTTAAATACTCGGCTCCCTGTTACTCACAGGCTTAATTCAGTTCTGGTTTAAGCAGGCACAACACTTACAGCAGAGGTGAATCTCTCTCTGTAACGTTAATATAGTTGTTTGCCTCCAACAGCTGGAAAGAACCTGGACTGGGCTGCTTTCCCCACCACTTTGTCAGCGAAGGGAACCTTTTTGTAAAACGTAACCTTTTTTTTTATACCAGCCCCCTGCAATCACAGCAGCACAGAGCTTGGGGTCATTTCTATAGTACTTTTTTCATCAAGATAAATACTGAAGTTGAGCTCCCTATCTCCGATTGCAAGGGGCTTCTAAAAAAAGGTTATTGGGCCACTAAAAATAATATACAGCCCTTTGTACAATTCTTACTTACGTCTTTACCCCATGCTCTTCAGTGGGGTCACTGCAGTTATCACCTAGTACAGAGCAACAATCAAGTACAGAAACAGCTTTTCATTTCTCAGCCAACTGTCTGTAACTTTGAGGACAATGCATTTCCTTTGCTATATACAAAGTTTGGATCATACATAAAAATACAACCTGTGTTATTAATACAGTAGTTCTACAGGTCTTTTAAGGTCTGCCCTCATGTCTCAAAACTTACTTTCACATTTGTATTACTACTATGCTCAGAGCAACAGCAAAAAGACTTGTGTCCATAACAGCGCTCGGCACAATGGGCATTTTGAACAGTACTTTACAAATCACAGGTGTCCCCCCTTTAATATCTCTAATGGCATCCACTCGTGATTACGTGCAGCTGTATCTCCTCTTACACATGGCTGCAGCATTTAAACCCAGGCAATAATTGAGTTTAAGAATCAGAGGACCAAGGGAAGGAAAAGACTTAGTTGATATCCCCCAAACCCTGCCACTGCAGGATTCTTCTCATTAGAGTTTCACTGTTTTGTAGCAAGAAATTACAAATAGAGGAAATTACACCAGCAAATGTAATCTCTGGAGCCTAGTGCAATTTAAGGGAAAACAATCATGGACCCAATTCTCCCATCTTTCACCTTGTGTTGCACATCTCACCAGTGCAATGCAAGTATAAGATTGTATGGCTGCTGTGAGCACATGGAGCATTCTAGTTGGGGGCATTTTCTACCCTCTCTGCACAGGTGTAGTGACAAACCCAGGTGAAAGGCAGGGGAGGATTAGGCCCATCTCCAAAGTGACCCGTTCATTTACATTGATGTGCATTTTAAAACTTTATTCCAAAGCAGACACTCCACTTGTGGCTAGAACCTTTATGCTGTTGCATGGGATGTTTTGCAAGTGGCTCAGGGCAAGGCTGGTATCCTGCACAGCCCACCTGAAGAAGCAGTTGTCTGCGTCTTGGGTTGTCTTTAGAGCTACCCTGCCTCCTCCCCACACACCAAATCAGATTTACACAGCTGTTTGCTCAGATTTTAAAGCATGCTCCCTCTGAAAACATCCAAGCTGTCAGTTTGCTCTCAAAGCAGGATTCCAGCTTGTAAGCTTGCCCACACAAGTAGCTGCATTGAAAGGGGGATAGCTTAGTGGATGGGACGTTGCTTAACATGGGGATTCCCCAAACCCTGACCAGAGGCAAATGAACCAGGCAAGTTTCAGACAGTAGCTATTATAGCTATGACCATGCCATAGTTACTTTGACATCAAGATTTATGCTCTTCCCCAGCCAGTAAGGCTCAGAGAAGCCCTAATGTGACCAAGGGTTGAAGCTTCAAACAAATCATACGTGGCCCAGAAAAGAAAATGTGGGTTAAAATAAGGCTTTGTCTATGCTAGGGAGTGAATACCAGCCCAGCTGCTGGTGTAAGTGCACCAGCACAAACCCCCAGGGCAGTTAAGCAAAGGCACTATTTGCACCAGAGTTTTGCCCTGCTAGTTACAGGGATAAGCTGCCCTGGTGCAGGTTACAGCAGTTTAACCCTATGTGAACTAGGAGACTGCACTGGTGCTGATGGCTGAAATCTGAACATGTCCCCCATTCAGTCAAAGCCTAAATTCCTCTAAATTCTGTTTATCTGCAACCACTGCCTTAGAGTCCCAGCCTCGGGAGCTTCCTCAGGCCTTTTCCTCCTGCACATGACGGAGGCAGGCTCAGCCAGTCTGGCACCAGAAGCGAGAGCATGTGGCCTTGTGTGACCAATGGCAGCTAGAGTATCAAATAGCCCCTTCCCTAGGAACATTTGCAATCAATCCAAATAAGTGCAGCCCTGTGGGATGCTGAGGTGGCTGGCGTCCCAGTCACTGGGGAATAACTCCAGCAGAAAGGGAGGGTAAACCTGCCCTGGCAGATACTTGCTCAGCTCACACAGGGAGAGAACGAATACAAATGGAGTTTGCCGGTCTGATCTCCCCCTCCATCTGCACTGCATTCAGCACACACACTTTATCACAGGAAATCTGACAAGAAGGAAGGCAGCTATTCCCCAGGAGCCCCTCTGGCCTCCTACTTTCATCAGTGGAATTGCTCTGTCCTAGGGCCAGTTTGAGCTACATCAGATCTGTGACCAAAACAAAAAGGAGCCAGTTCCTTTCTGCATCTTGGAAAAAAACATGGCGAGAACCAGGGTTCATAGATTCTCCATCTTATCTAGGGAAGGGATTTATTTCTCTTCACAGAGCTAGTGCAAAACCCTGCAACAGCTGCAGTGTTCTTCCACAGATGCTAGTGAGGAAGCACCGCTCTTCCCCATCAACCCCATCCTTAGCCGGTAGCCTCGATGGTAGTTGATCACACTTACTGTGGCATCTCAGACTAGCTCTCTCTGTCCACAAATACTCTGCCTTTCTCTAATCCCCTCAGAAGCAGCAGCAAAACATCCCTGTCCAACACTAGGCAGCAGCGCTGCTGGCTTCCTTCACCCGCATCACCCAAACACAGTTTCAAACTCACAAATTTAGTCAGAGATTGGAGCCCGGTGCATAATGCAGCCGAGAGACAGGAGAAGGGGCAGAAGGCAGGTGCTTAACTGCAGCCGCTATAGATATTTAATTAAATGTGACTGATAAATTGCTACCCAGGCCATTCAAAACAAAAGTCTGCCTCTCCCAGAGAAGCACATCTCCCCCTATCTCCATGGAGAAAGCTCTCTTTTCATTTTTTCCTCTCAGCATTTGCAGCTCCTGGCAGGGATTTCAAGGCTGCCTGCCTCCTTTTGTCTAGAAATTCCTGCAGTGCCCAGATCATCTTCCTTTCATTCCCCCTCTTTCAGGCAGGTATTAAGCCAAGGAGAGCAACACAAGACTTATTTATTGGCCAGTAAATAAGCTTTTTGCAGGCGCTTCAAGAGTGATAAAAATGAATACCAGCGCAGCACACAGGGGACGTCTAAGGAGGCATCTGGTAAAGGGCTGTCTACCTATGTACCTATCTAGCCCCCATTAACCAGCATAGCTGAGAGAGTCACAATCTTTAACGTATTTATCCTCAACACCTCTGTGAAGCAGAGAAAAGTACCATTTTACAGATGGGAAACTGAGGCACACACACTAAGCACACGAGCCTCAAAGGTCTTTAGGTGCCCAACTGCCACTGATTTTATCCCCTTCACGTTCCACGGTCACACAGGAAGTCTGTGGCAGAGCAGGCAACGGAGCCCAGATCTCTGGTGTCTCAGGCTGGTGCCCTAACCCCTGAACCATCATTCCTCTCAGGGCTGGATTTTGAACAAGCCTACAATCACTAGCAGTGATGCTGAGCGTCTCAGCACAATCTTCAATTACTCTCCTTCCACCCACCCTCGCAAGAGGTCACCGCAGAGCCGTTCCCATTAACAAGTTAAAGTTTCCAAGCATGCATTGCCCCTTCTTAGCTACCCTAAACCCTGCCATAATCACTCTCCGGGCAATGCCCCTGCATAGCAAACTGCTCAGCTCCGGTGTTTAGAAGGGGAGGCATCTCTCTGCTGACGTGCCCTCACTTGTTGTGTAGGGAGTTGGTTGGTTTGAATTCTCTGAGCTCTGCCTCTGTTGAATTTGGTCTTTGTTTACCTCATGCTGGGCAGATGAGTTATGTGTTAATTGCTGAAGGGAGGCTGGTGGCAGCTGGAAGTAGAGAAGCAAAGCAGGACACCCGAAGTGCTGAGAGTTGGTCAGGATCACACTGTCTCCAGCTCAAAACCGAGTCCCTGTGATATCTCCACTGTCACGTCACAGAGAAAACAGCCAGCTCCTAATCTCAACCAGCGCCTCCTGCTGCCACCTCTTCAATTCCTGACCCACAGCACAGAAGTTTCCTCCTGTCCGACTCAAGGAACAAAATCTCCCCCTTGTCTGGAAACAAAGTCCTGACAGCATGTCCCACCACAGCTGGCCTTGCTCTCGCCCCAGCTTTCCAGCACAATGCCTTACTCTGACAGCTACCTTCACATCAAAAGCTGCTCTTCTATGCGTATTTCTAGAGGCCACGTAGCCATTGCTGCACCCGCTTCAGGCTCTAAGCATTTGCAAGGAAGCTTTTTCCTGACACTGGATTCCCTTGCCTGCTGCATCCTGTCCATTTACCGTTTTAAGAGGGAATCAATCTGGAGTGTGTTCCACACAACATGCCTCCTCCCCCCATTCACACCAGCATTAGATCTTGCTTCTCACCTCCCTCCACTCTTAGAACACATTGTCGTGTTCCTGTTAGGCAGAGCAGCACACATTCAGTTCTGCCCAGAGCAGCAGAGAGGCTGAGCAGAGCAGATGGACTGTCTGATGTCAACATCTCAGTCAACTCGATTTGCTTCATGCCTCTTCAGCTCTTCCCTGGACCCCATCTCTGCCACCACACCCCACATGGATCCCTGTCTGCCTCCCAGCATAATGCAGGACATTAATTCCTCCTCACCCCTCTAAAATCCATGTTTTCCTGTAACGTCTTTTGAGAAGCAGGAACATAGCTGCAAATTCACTTTGGTGTTCACTATTATACATGAAAATGAAATGGCAAGGCAGCACATTTCATATAAGAAATGCTCTTTCACACACTGCGTATTTCATCTGCAGAACTCACTGTCACAGAACATTGAGACCAAAAAAGTATTAGACATTCATGTAAACAGTAAGGATGTCATGTAGAATAACCATAACTAGCAGAGACATTTATAGAGGGGATAAACCCTCACACTCCAGGGCAGAAGCCAGCCACTACGGGCCTGGGGTTAAGATGAAACTTCCCCGCTATGCATTTTACTTCATAACTGCCCATTTATTGCGGGGGAGGGGGTTGTGTCTTTCCTTGAAGCATCTGGTACCAACAGCTGTATGAGACAGGATACTGGACTAGATGGGCATTGGGCTAACCCTGAGGGATGGGAGATAAGATACTGGCCTGGTTAGACAACAGGTCTGATCCCATATGACAGTCCCTATGCTCCCTTTTCAAGTTTCTGCATCTCCTTGCAATTGTGATTAGTGATAGATGCAGGAGAGTGGGTCCTTATGGTCCACGTACCAGAAGGAGTCCATACCTTAGTGCAATTGGCAGCTTTCGGCTCAAGGTCATTCAAGGTCACTAGTTCCCGGAGAAGGCTGCTCTCTTGGTAACCACCCTTCACTCCTCGCAGTTTGAAGTAAGCCTGAGATCGCTGGAGTATCAGCCTGAGGTTCACGGCAAAGCCCGCCATGTCAATGGCGAACGGGCGGTGGGGGTCGAAAACAGTCTTCCAGCCATACACCTTCCCCGCTGCATTCACCTTGGGTGACTCGTAACGCAAGCCGCCCACAAAGGCCACCGGCCACACCGACACCTTCCTGGTGGTGCGCATCTGGGGGCAAGGAGAGAGAAGGGCACAGTGAGTGCGTGTGGTGGGATGGGAGGGGAGCGGACACTCGCTCTGACAGTTGCTAGCGCACACTCAACGTCCAGTCCACACATGCAACATGCAGTGACTCTGGACAGTCCCCAGCAAGACCTCTGCGTGCACTGCAGCACCAGACCTGGATGTTCTGAAGCAGGTAAAGGCCAGTGGACACAGAGAGGCAAGTATACTGTATACATGAAAGCCAGGAATGCTGGGTTCTGTTCCCAGCTCCACTCCAGGCTCTCTCTGTGACCTTGGCCATGTACTTTAACCTCTGTATGCTTCCATTTGCCCAATTGTATGAGGGGATAAGCCCTGTATTGCAGGGTGGCTAGCAAAGTGCTTTGGAGAGTCTCAGGTAAAGATGCTAGCGAATATGCAGATGCGCAGTTACGCTAATTACTCCCGCTGAGACTTCAGTGTGGCAAAGGCTTCATGCAAGGAACAGAGTAGCAAATAAGAGTTACATCCAAGGTTTTAAAATGTGCTTTTCATCCACAGGCCTCAACGCTTCACAAAGGTGGGTCAGAATCATCGTCCCCATTTACAGATGGGGAAACTGAGACCCGAGGGGGGAGGGCAGAGCTTGTCCAGTGTCACATAGTGAGTTAACAGCAGAGCTAGGAAGACAAGATTTCTGGAAACTAAGCTATAGAGGAGAATTAGCATCAAGTGGCATTCAGTGTAGCCTCCATTTTGTGAGTCACCGTTGATGGGAAATGGGAAAACATTTGGAATAAGGTACTACGAACGTGGTTCTCAAATGAGGGCAGTTAAGAAGTCTGGCTACCTAGTAAACGCCAAGCAAATGGGATGAGGTTTTGCAGCGATTTATCCCTGGTCTTGTCTCCACTCTGCTGGCAGGAGCATGCTCCCTCTCCAGCACCTTCTGCTTTTGACCCAGACCCTCAGACGGGATTTCCCAGAGCTAATCTCATGAATGCTATTACAGTGAGAGAGACCTGAAGAGTTGAAGGCACTTGCCCTTTTGCATTACACACATGCTAATGGCACCCCTTATCCACAGAGACTAGTCACCCATGTTTATTGTGCTGTCCCTTTCACTGGCTGCCTGGTGCCTCTTAATGCAAGTAGGTTTCAGGGGGAGGAGGATAGGGTTGTCAACCCTCTAGGATTGTCCTGGAGTCTCCGGGAATTAAAGATATCATGTGATGACACCTCCAGGAATACATCCAACCAAAACTGACAATCCTAGAGGAGAGGAATCCAGAGACAACATCATGCCGGTTAACAAAGGGGCCCTCATGCCTTCTTAATAGGTAGTCATTTCAGGGTACTGCTTGGTGCTGTAGCTAAAACCTGCCACAGAGAAGGAAGTAATGAGGCAACTGGGTTGAAACAGCATTCAGCCTGGGTCTGCCTGCAGTCTTATGTACAAACCTCATTTACTGGGTTCTTTGCTATAGGATTTAGGTCTGTGCCAAATGGCCAAGACAACAATCTGCCCCCTTGACTTCAATACACCAGTTTGTGCAAATGAATGCAAACTAAAACAGAAGACCTCAAGAAAGGGGGAGGAATAGGTGCAGTATATGTACCTCAAACAAGGGATTGTTTGGCATGGCAACTAGTGAATGAGGAGGAAGGGGATCATCGTGTCTTGTACCAAAGAGCTTCCAGGAGTGTAAGGCAACAAATCATCGGAGATCAGTGACTCAGGGGAACTGCACATGTCTACAAGTATCTTCCCGGGGGAGGGGAGGGGGGGGAGGTTCATAGGGGGTGTAGAACTAGCAGTGAAGGGGTGAAACTAAAAAACAACACTTCTGCTCAGGTTTCCAAAGCCCTTTGCAAATGTTAATCAGGCCTCATGTCATGGCAGTAAAGGAAGTGTTACGATACCCATTTAATAGTGGAGGAGACAGGCAGAGAGGGGTGAAGGAGGGTCCTGTGAGGAAAGCACTGGGTTGAGATTCGAGATGCGGGTTCAGTTCTTGCTTGTGCCAGTCTCCCTGTGTGACCATCGGCAAGTCTCATCATCCGTGCCTCAGTTTCCCTATATATACAATAGGGATAATGACCCTTCCCGCTACCCCCACCAGGATAATTTTGTTAATGTACAAGAAGTGCACAGGGATTGCACTGATGGGGAACAGATAAGCACCTGCACAGATAGCAGTGACTTGCCTTCTTCCAGAGGATCTGTGGCAAAGATAAAACTAAAAGCCAGGAGTCCTGGCTCACAGCCCTGCAGCTCTAACCACTTGAGACACTATCTCCCAAATGACATTTAAAACAATAGTGATTTAGGCTGAGTATGAAGAGATGTTTCCTAAAAGCCTCCAAGGGAAGTGGTGGGAGCCTCATTGCCTGGGATATTAAAACTAGACTGAAACATGGTGCAGGGAAGAAGCCCCTCACTGTTTAGAAGGATGGAGGTGCTGATCCTTCCTGTCCTTAAAGTCTCTGGTTCCCTGTGAAGTTATCGCTATGCCCTTGTCAATGTGGTGATGGAACCTAAAGGACCTGTCTTATCTGGAGCTGATGAAAAGCTGCATTGTTGGGAACATAATCCTGCCTCCCCAAAGGGCACGGACTATCTCATGGGGACACTAAACCCCGAGCTGTAGGCCAGACACAAGGCAAAGACAGGAAGCCTGTTCTGAAGTAACATACACAACCTCCAAACAAATAGAATCCTTCCCTCAGGAACATGGTTGTGCTGGAATAGGGACCATCAAATACACTCCATGCAGACTTCATTCTGAGCTCCCTGGCTTCAGCCATTATCACCCACCCCAGACTCAGAAATGCAGGGCTCGAAGGGACCTTGAGACATCAAGTCCAGCTCCCCATGCTGAGGCAGGACCAAGTAAACCTAGACCATCCCTGACAGGTGTTTGGCCAACCTGTTCTTAACAACCTCCAATAACAGGGATTCCACAACCTCCCTTGGAAGCCTATTCCAGCCCTTAACTACCACTCTAGTTAGCAAGTTTTTCCTAATAACTAACCTAAATCTCCCTGGCTCCAAAACAACCCCATTACTTCTTGTGTTACTTTTAGCGGACATGGAGATCAATCAATCACTGTCCTCTTTATAACAGCCCTTAACGTATTGGAAGACTTATGTCCCCCACTTCAGTCTTTTTGCTCAAGACTAAACATGCCCAGGTTTTTTTAAAACTTTTCCTCACAGGTCAGGTTTTCTAAATCTTATTATTTTTGATGTTCTCCTCTGGACTCTCGTGACCCTTCACTACAATGAAAGTAGCATCATTGTTGGGTGGTTTAATACACTGTGAATAAAGCCTTTTGAGGTTTGGTTCAGCAGCACCTCTTGAAAAAAAAAAAAAGTAATGCCTCCCAATTGAGATTAGGTTAGCCCATCTACAGGCAAAGCCCAGAGGGAGGTACATTACAGATCAGACCAGGTTTGATGCTTATCTTCTGTAACATCTAGATGAGCGTGCATGCACATGTACACACACAAACACGCAGAGCAGACATGACTAGGAAGAGAAATTATGAAAGGACTCGGATAACTCCAGACCCCTCTCAAAGCCACTTCTGGAAGGAAACAGTGGAAGACATTCAGGCTGTAATTTTAGCCGTCTCCCTGAGCTGAGTCAGAAAATCCTGGGAGCCCATTTGTCTCTGGATGCTGCAAATCAGCAGCCCCGGAGGCGAACACCGCTTGCATGTTTACAGCCTAGGTTTGGTCAACTCAGTGGCAGAATCTGAAGGGTTACGCTCTTCAAAACAAACAAGCAAACAAGTATTGACAAACGCCTGCTTTTCATGCATGTGCGGCAGCCTGGAGAGACAATCGCACAGTGCGTCTCTGAACAAGATGTCTTGCAAGGGCAACCATTGTACTGCCTGACTTTGTTCAGAGAACGTTGAAAGGGCTCTATTCACCCTGAGGGAGGCCATGGATCTATGCAGAGCAGGCTCTTGCCAGAGACAGAATTTAAGTAATAAAGACACTGAGGTGGGGGCAAGCAAACAGTGAGGAAACGAGGGAAAGCCCAGTGATGCCTGAAGTATGATGGTACAAGCCAAATGGAGTGTGATCTGGGGAAGATGCCCTAGGTACAGGGTCAGGGTGAAATTCCCCCATGCAGCATGGGGAAGCATCCAGACCCATCTCTCTCATACACACTCATCTATGCTTAGGCCCAGAGAGACCAATGAAGGTTCCACAGTGGATGCATTTCCAGACAGCACTAATTAAGCAAGAAGCAACCATAGCTTATACTTCTACAGCTTTGCAAAGTGGAGAAAAAGGGGACTGGCGGAGCCAGCCAGATGGCTCTACCCTGAACAGCCAAGGTGATGCCAGGGAGCCTTCCATTTAAGACAATTAAGGGCCTGATCCTGCCAGAGGATCAATTTTCCATGTGGTGCTGCCCTCAATTCCCACAGAAATCAATGAAGCCAACAGTCTAAAGGGGAATAGCCAAGGTCTGCTGGGGGCAGGGAGTTCATACGAGTGGGCAGCATAGACCTGGGGCTGATTGGAAGGACGTGGTAACTGAGGGTCACAATTAGAGCTGGGCATTTTTTTTTTTTTACTAAAACATCTTATTGTGGCAAAAAATGCAGATTCCACAACAGCGAAATGTTTCATGGATTCACGTCTGTTTCACTGAATTTGTTTCAAACCCACCTCCCAAAAATATTTAAGAAAAAATAGAAACATTTTGTTTTTACATTTTCTAAATGAAACATTTTGAGTCAAAATGACTTCTTGCTGTGAAATCTTGATTTTTTTTTAAAAATGTTAAAAAAATGTTTCAAATCTGGATCAAATTTGTTTTTCAACTTTTTGATTCACCAACATTTTTTTTTTAAATTCAGTTTGCTCCAAAGTGAATTTTTGTTTTTGATTTTTTGATACCACCAGCAAACTGATCAGTTATTCGCCCAGTTCTAGTCACCAAATCCCCCCGAATGGCAGGACCCTCAGAAACACTGATTAAATGAATCCAGGATGATGGGCTCTGGAACTGGCACAAACAGCAATGCCCGGTACCCCCTCCCCATCCATAGACCCTTATCCTAAATGTGGGGTCTATGCTACTTTTCCCATGGTCCCTTTAACATTAGCAAATGTGCCCCATTTTCACTGCCTGGTGCCCGGGCACCAGAGCATGCTGAGAGGTGGTTTAAATGACATTGCTTTAGGGTTGTATTTTACTTAAACTAAGTGGCGATGACAGGCGCTGGGCTCGGGAGAGCACGTAACCGTGTTACCTGCTGGCTGGAGCACGTCACTGACACCAAGTGCCTTGTTACTCTGGGCTGCAAGCAGTGACGTTATAGATGCTCCTGGGTTTGGCCTCCGGGGACTCTGGTCTGCAAGCTCAGGCAGTGGGGACAGAGGGGAGCATAACCCAGCTGAGCAGGCCTTGCTTCCATCTTACCTCCTCGAAGAGCTCCAGGCTGTAGGTGTTATCGTCATCAGCGAAGTAAACAATCCCAGGCTGGCTGCTATTTTTATTAAAGGTCTCTCTCAGCCATCGCAGGGCTAGGTTCCTCTGCATGGTCCCGCGGGGAATCCGGGGGTCCCTCATGTCTCCCCGCAGCTTGTAGTTGCGGGGTGTCTCCACATTGAGGTGGGTGTAGTTCAGCCCCGTGTCCCGCAGCAGCCGGGTGACAAGAGGAGTGCGCCGCTGCGAGTCCTCCACCAGGATCCAGTGCAGGTTGGGCACATGCAAGAGGGTGTTGGCCAGACGCGTCAGTTCCGCCTTTTGCACCGGCCGACTGTAGGTGGGGGTGATGACGTGGATGGTGGGGAGGGTGTCCGACCATGGGGGTGGGCGGGTGTAAACGTACTCTGTCCTCACCACCTCCACAATGTCGCGGTCTGACAGGCAGTACTCCTTAGAGTCCGAGCCTTGGGCCAGATCACGCCTGGAGTCACCACCATCATCTGCACAAAGGCATGAGAGAAAGAGAACACACACAGTCAGTCCTCTTACAGTCTCCTCACCACCACTCCCTCGGAAAAGCCAGCAGGCAGCTTGCTAGCAGGGGAGATCACCCCCTTGGTCTGAGAGCAAAGCTGGAAAACAGAGGCCTTTTGCAAGAAACAAAGAACCCACAAGACAGAGATGCCAGCTGGTGAACTAGCCACATGGGCAAAATTCTGACAGCTCCAGGATAGCAGGAGGGAACTGCTCAGAACAGCAAGCTTTAAGGGCCCAAAGAAACAACAACCGAGTGGGACAAATGGGTATAGAATAACAGATACTCTGACACCGATACAGCACCTTCCAAACCCACAGGATCCCAAAGTACTTTGTATTCCATGCCCCATGGAGCAGCTCCTGCCACCAGGGCAGAACTCTGCAGCTGTGCACGAATGCATAGCAACAGCTCAGGACAGCAAGTGAAGAATACCATAACCAGTGGGAGCTGCAGAGACAATATGGGTCAACAGAATAGAATTGGCGTATGTTGGGATTTGGCCTGGATAACATTGTATCCCATTTATGAGATGTTCCTTAAATCCAGGCCCTGAGCTGAGATCTTGAAATATGTCACCTAGTCACTTCACAAGTGTTCACACAGCTCTGACTAACCTTCCAGGCGGGCCTAGGGTCATATGAGGCAGTCTCTTATGTGGCTGTTCCAAAGTCCTGGTCGCGAATCTTAGAGGGATATATGCAGGACATTACAGATACGAGCACCACCACCACAACTCTTACCAACAGTACGACGAGTACAAACGACCAGGACTTCAGAATCCTTCGCTAAGAATTTCACTCTATATTGGCTCAGACAAGATAAACCTTCACGTGTAGACTTTGCTGATTTCGATTTGTACTTTTCTATAAATTTTGACCGATAGTACCAATGTTTATTTTTAACTTTTTTTCTGATTTTCACCTATTTAAATGTTCATAGTTGCAGGGGTCAGAATAATTATTTAAGGACAGTAGATGTTGAGATTCAAAACAGCAAAGCTTTATAACCGTTAAAATACATATTGTCGGCATTAAATCATAATACACAAAGTAAACATCCTTAAATCAAACGAACAATTTCTCAAGCAGCATTTTTCTTACTTTGCCTGTCTGTAAATTTTGATGATTATGGATGGAAACATTTCGTCCGTGTGTGCACAACAAAATTGACGTTTATCAATAAAAATGAAATCCTTCCAAGTCTACTCATATGTTTGCCATTTCCAGGGAACTGCAGCCCTGCCATCAGTACCATTAAGAGCATAATCTACAATTGCACTAGGGATGATCAAACTGAATGAGAATATCAACACTTATGGTCCAGGATATAGGCCAACCATTGTCTGCAGGGCATGCGATAATAGTGTAATATGGGGTTTTTGACATTTCCCAATAGTGGCTAGTACCAGAGGACAAAAGGATACAGGAGTAGATGAACCATAAGTCTGACCCACTAGAACAATTCCTACATTTTTGGCATATCCTTCTATGTTATTCTGCATCACCCATCAAGCTGGATGCTGGGGTAAACACCACAAGTGACTTAAGACCCAATATGTCAAGTATCTGATCATCCCCAGCTGCAGTGAAAACTGATGGGCGGGTAGGGTGTTCAGTGCCTGCCAGGATCAGGCCCTTTCTAAGATAAACTGCCTCCACTGTGCACAGCCCAGCAGTGTAGAATTCTGAAACACGGGAAGCAATTCACACCCTGAATAAACTGTGAAATGTATTTGATAGCACAGAGGCTGAACATAATTAGAGTGGAACTTGGCCAGGACACATGGGATCATTAGTCATCACCCTGTGGGTCAAAACCTTAGCTTTAAATCCTCTGGCACTTCCACTCCTCACATACCATGCTGGCCAACACTAATTTGCTCTTCTCATCTCTGGCACCTCCCACTCAAGTCTCTCAAAGCTGCTTTACAAATATGAATGGATTTATTCTGACAACACCCTTCTCAGGCAAGCCAATGTCTTCATCCCCATTGCACAGATGGGGAAACTGAGGTACAGAGCATGGAAGCGTTTTGCCCAGGGTGTACCGGTGAGTCAGAAGTCGGACTGGGAAACAAGACCCACTCCCAGTCCTGTGCCACACCCTCAAGGCCGCCCTTCTACCTTGCAGGTCACCGTTCATTCATAGAAGTGTCTCCTCCCTTCCAGGGCACTGAGCTGAGCCTGGAGGGGTGGGGAGACGGGACTCCATTTTCCTTTAATAGCATCAACACACTCGCCTTTCAATTCCAGCATTCTCCTCTTTGTTGCACTGCACTCCTCCAGGCTTGGGGGGCGAGCTCTTGCCCCTCTCGGGAGGGCTGGGGGGCTGGGGGAGGAGACTATAACTTCTCTCAGAGCTCTCCTGAGCCAATTGTGTGGCAGAGTCATACAGAGGCACCCTTCTCTTACAGTTCATCTAGGGGAAGAGGTGAAGCCACTCAAAAGGCCTTGGAGCTGCTGCCAGATTTAAATAGCACATCAGACTACAGGTAGAGAGTAAGGCAAAGCCACACCAAATTGAGAGGGGAGAAGGGGACCTGGTGGACAGTGAGAGGTAAGGGGAAGAGAGTTTAGAGCATGGGCAAGAGATGGGGAAACAGAGCTTAGCTTCCTCCCTACAAATACACCAGTGCTCCTTTCCATCATGGAACCCAGGAGACAGTGGGGCCCAGGGAAAAGGCAGAGAAGGGATACTGGCAAGTGTCCTGGGCGAGGTGGCGTCTTCCCGATGCTGCTTGTGCTCCTTGGACATTGCTACCTCTCTGAAAACAGAGCAAAACTTCACCACCTCAGAACCATCCACCCACATCTGATCTTGGTTACTCCAGACCGGAATTTGATTCTATGGCTTGGGTGCTAGGTAATTTAGAGGCTGCCTCTCTCCTGAAGTTCTGATCCAGATGGGGAGACGAGCAGGAAGTCCTGAGCTCCCTCTCCCCAGGCCCTTGACTCTGGAATGCACTACCCAGCCTCCCGCTTCAAGTCCACTGCTCTTTACCCAGCTTGTTTGGCGGCCCTGGGAGATATTTTCTGTTGCATTTGTCAGCATTGCTTCGGCTACTGTTTTTATTGCAAAATGCGTCATTAACTTCTACAGGATGAACTTCTGCAGGGACCATCAGAAGGGATTTCCTCTTTCCCCTCTAGAGTAGGACACACACGGATGGCTTCCGGTGAGTAAGAGAAACAACCAGTGGTCCACATCTTCTTTCAAGGCTCTGTCTTAGAGACTGTATATTTATGACCACGGGAGCTATCCAGTCCCAGCAGTAAACTGCCCAGCTTCCAAGCCACAGGATCTGAAGCTTAGGAAGAACCCCCCCAAGCTCTGGGCTTTCCCTGTAAGAGAGCAGGGGAGGCTGCTGCCTGAGCATGGTCCACAAGTGGAGATATGAGCATGGTTGTCATGAAAGGGATGGAATGAGACATGGGGATGTGGCATGGGCTGGTCAGTTTCTCTCACCCTTGTGCACTGCAAGCAGCGGAGCAATGGTGCTCTGGTGCCAGACGGTGATTAACAGCGTCCAAGGCAGAACTATCAGCACGATAGCCAGGATGTCTCTTCTCTTCGGCATCTCCAAGACTGACTGGACCCACAGCTCCTCATTACCTGACAGCGAAAACCCCAGAGACAGAACAGCAGAGCACATGGAGAACAGAAATAAATGGGCAAGAAGGAACAAGGACAGAGAGAGAGCAGCAAAGGCGACACGGCTCGCAGGTCTTACCAGCGCTTACAACCCACCCATTGCAGAAGTAGGTTCGGAGATGCGACAGCTGCACAGGCTGGAGGCCACGCAGGGAGTGCTTTCACGGGGTGTTGCCGGAGCCACTGGTGGGAGCTTCAGGGACCCATCAGGAAGGAAGCCTGAAACACAAAGCAAAGGAGAATAGGCAGAGAGAAGCTCTGGGAACAGCTGCCCTTCAGGGAGACACCCTGGTGCTAACAAGCCCTCCCTGGGAGGAAGGAGCCCAAGGAGCTGCCAGGGAGGCAGGAGAAGAGCTGTCTGGGTGTTCAGGGCTTTGCATTTCCAGTGTCCCAGAGCAGCCAAGCAAGCTCCGGCTTGCAAGAAGATAGTGTAGTGCCTCTGAGCCCTCCCCCAGGTGAGAAATGGGCACCCGGGCATGAGCTCTAGGCAAATAGCCGTGTGTATGGATCCCAGAGCATATCCAGCACACAGCCCCTGCCATTGTGGCCTGCATTAGCCTCTTGCTCCCCCGCAGGAGCCCTGCAGCGGTACATCAGCCTCCATGAGCTGTAAACAGCCACATCACATTCTGACCTCTGCAGATTTTCAATCTGCTTTGCTACCGGCAAACTGCAAATGGCCCAAGCAGCAGGGCCCGGTCCGTGAGAAAAAGGCCAACCTTCCCCACCCCCGAATGGTATCTGTTCCCAGCTTTGCACAGAAGAAAGAAATCCATGAGTACCCTAGCCAGTGGGAGGGGACAATAACTAGCCCTTTACGTCTCCAGAGCATCTCTTGTCACTAAGCAAGCCTCCGGAGCCCGCTCGAGGTGCTGCTCCCATTGTACAGGCAGGGAAGCAGAGACCCAGAATGATTAAGTGACTTGCCCGATATGTAAACCAGCGGTAGAGGCAGGCTTAGAATGCAGAAGCTGGCTCCCAGTCCTGTGCTCTAACCACTGAACTGTGCTGCTCTCTGCCAGGTGGAGGGCTTGGCAAAGAATCCAGTGCTACCCCCATCTGATGGGAGATCTTCATTCAAATGCTATTGGGGAGGTTGCTGCAATGACATGGGTTACTCTGCACTCCATGTATCACTATAACAACCCCAGTGCAAATCTCCTAACCCCTCCCACTCCCATTTCTACCACCTGGAGGAACCTATTCCCCAGACTCTGGTCTCCTGTCCTCCTGCAGACTTGCTCTGCATTCATTTCTTCCCTCTCTGAACTGCCAGGACTGGAGTATATTAAGCTGCCACACTGGCTTAGTCTGATTCAATAGAAGCACACACAGGTTTTAAGCAGACTGTATTTTATCTGGGTGTTATCTTGGCAAGCGGTGTACAGCACTTAGCCGGCACACGCAGGCTGGACAGTTTGCAAACACAGAAAGTGGTTTAGTACACTCGTTCCCTGGGGGGGGAAGGAGGGGGGAATGCCTTAGCCAGCCACACAAACCCCTGCATTGCAGGTGACAAGGGGCACCCAGGGAATACCCTGGCCAAAGGCGGGGGAGGATCTGATACAGGGGGTTTTGCACTGGGTTCAGGAAAATAGTTGCCTACTTAGCAAAACCTCTGACTGATTTGTCTTTTTCTCCTTCATTGTACTCTGGAGCCCTCACTTTGCTCACTTCTTAGGTTGAAGGGGAGTCCCCCGTCTCCCCTCCCTCCCCCGCAAACACACACACTGTGCTGGGATATCAGGGTATCTACAGATGCTTATATGAAAGCTATAAACTGCACATCCAAAGATTTCTCATTGGTGGGATACGTGCTATTGTACATTCCAAAGACCTTGTAGGGTCCTCAACAATAGGGTCTGATCTGCAGGTCCATACTGCCCAAGTACCACGCCCTTCTGAGGGCTCATGGCACACACACCAGGCCTCATTCAAGCCTCTTATCACAGGACGCATTCTGTATAATCAGAGTCGCCACCTACCGCGGTAGCAGCTATATTAGGAAAAGGACAGACCCCAACAACTCTCGGGGGGCCTGTGAAGGATCAGGAAAGCTGCAGCCAGTGGTGGAGGATCTCATCTATTGGAACCAAGCTTCCCATTGTCCCATCATCGTAAACTAACAGGAAAAGGTTTTCACAACCCAGTTCCAAGGAGGCGCTTTGTGTGGCCAAACACACTCCTAGTTGCTCCTTCAGCTTAGATTTCTCAGCACCAGAGAGCAGCTTTGTCCAGACAACATACACCAGGGACAAAGGGAGGCTCCTTGCCAGCAAGGATCTCCCTTTCACACAAACAGAGGCTGGCTCCTAAGCCAGACTGGGTCATGGCAGTCCCCCCGTGCACACAGCACCTTGGGGAGATCAAGTCTTATCACAGCTGGCCTCATCCTCTTGCCCTGGTTGTTTCCTGAACACAGGGCAGAGAGCTCTGGGGTCATTTACCCTAAGACCTGCACCCGCTTACATAGCCATAGCATCTGCTCTTCGAAATACAACCTTAAAGTCTCTCCGCGGGATGTATACAATGGACAGCTCTTGTGGCATGCAGCTCTAAAGGGACCGAACTCCTTGCTCAGTAGAGTACCTATGCTGTGAATGCACTGAGAAACAGCTGGTACCATTGGAAAGCGGGAGGAGAAACGGACATGCTAAGGAGCTTCTGAGAGCGGATGTACAGCAGCTGGCAAAAGATCACAATGGATGGCGCACAGAGCATGCTTCTGACCCAGGGCAGGCACCTCAGAATTCAGTGCTCTAGCCTTAGAAGGTGCATCTATATGGAAGCAGGGAGGTGTATTTCCCAGAGCAGGTGGCTCTGCTTGAGCTAGCTGCCCAAGTACGTACCTGGAAGTTAATGAGCTACTAGTGCATGTATGTGTCTACCTGAGCTGGGAATCGCACATCCCAGATGCACTGTGGATGTACCTACAATGCTTTCTCCACTTGCTGCTCCGGAGCCAATTCACCAGCATCCTACCCAAGGACAGACAAACCCTGCAATCCATACAGAGGGCAGGAAAGGGAGTGGGACGCTGTACTGATTTCCCTCCCATTGACACAGAGAAGGAGAGCACGTGCCAGCTATTTCTGCATGGCCTTATTCAGCATTGATTCCCTATAACTGGCTGCAGAGTACTTAACTGCTCCCGTATCAACTGTCTACCACTCCGGCTCTCCAGCTGCCAGAGGTCAATGCAGCCCAGTGGGGATAGCTGGTGGGTTTGGCTTGCCCTCATTCCCCCAATGGCAGCAGAGGGCAGAGAGTTCACAGGCACTCTGCCACGGAAACACTTCCTTCCCTAATAATCCTCAACTCCCTTGGAATCCAGAGCTCCTGTCAAGCCATAAAGGCCTCTGGGACCCCATGCAAATTTAGATAGTCAGTGCCCCTTAGCGGTGTCTAATGTTCTCATCACAAGACCTTTCCTTCCCTGTGAGTTACACTCCTCTTCCTCACAGAGACACGTTTCTAGCATAGGCAGGCCCTTTGTCTGGTGTTAAGCTAGGCAGTCCTGTTTTTGTTAACAGTTCTCCCTGTCCGGTACCAGAATGGTTTTGTCCGGTATCAGAACGTGCTGCTCCACCCCCGCTGGCATGACCTCACACGCACAGTACACAGAGGTCCCCATTTTGCACAGCACCTCACCCCACCCTGCCAGCATGATGTGTGAGGTCACGCCATTCCGGAAGTACCTGGATGTGTCAGCAGCCACCCTATTTTAGCATGGCTGGAACAATAGCTTATGAAACTTTTGGAACTTTATGAAACTATGGAAAGGAGGCTTCTTATATGAGACCAATGATGCTGGCCACAATCATCCACTTGTCCACCCCTCCCCTCAATACCCTCTGTTTTCTCCCATCCTGACCCCCACCATATATGAAAAAACTCCACCCAAATTCATAAAGTTTCTACCTTAGCCTCTTTTAAACCCCGCCCTGAGACCTCTCTCTACTGCAGTGCCAACCAGTCACCTTTGTCTGGCATGAATTAAGGAACCAGGTAGAGCACAGCTGTTTTCCTACTCAACTGTTCATTTCATCAGTACCTCACTCCCAAATCATCCTCACCTCGTTTGTCTGTTTTGCCCACCTGCTGCCTCCCATCTGAAACCTAGATTGCTCGCTCTCAGGAGTGGATACTCTCTTCCTTGGTCTCTTGTCAGGACAGTACCTGCCACAATGGGGCCCTGATCCTTGATTGAGATTCCTAGGCACCACCACAATAATAATGGGACTGCAGGCTGAAAAGGGCATAACAGGACCAGAGGATAGTGAAGAAATGGTCAACCTAGAATCGGATAGCCGCAGAGCAAGGAGAATGCACCACTGCTCTGGTTGGGTAGCTAGATCTAGCGAAGGGCACCTCTGGTCCAGCCTTACTGTGAAAAATGAAGAGAAAATATTGCTCTTTGGGTTTTTGAAAACAAACAAAACAAATATTCAACTCAGAACAAAACAAAAAAATTGCCCTTTTTTTTTTTGTCAAAAAATTTCTTTTAGGCTGAAAAGCCTCTCTTTCCCAGAACTGCATTTTGATTCACTGCAAGCATGACTATGACACACAGTGGAGTAGTTCTTATTCCATCCAGTAGGGAGCAGCAGTGCACAGTCAGTACATTTCAATACTGAAGGATAAACAAACACTGAAAGAATTTTTTTTTTTTAATATTGAGTTTACCTGACATCAGTTGTGTCACTTGTTAACTTTTGAAACAAGGCTGCTTTGATTTGCAATCTGGGTTATAGTCAGTTTCACCATCCCTTTTTCATGCACAGTCCTCATGCTGTTGTGTTTGGGTTTCCTGGTTTGCATGGAGGAATGTTTATAGGAAATTAATATAAAAACATTTTAACTGAATTTATGTAAATATTCAAATTACTTATTGCTGCAAGACATCAGTGAAACCAAGAGCTTGGCAGGACTGAAAAACTGACTGGATATTTATCTGGATAACAGGATGAGCCAGAATTACAATAATACAGATCTTTAAAAACAAAAACAAACAACTTTGAAAGTGATACAATCCATCAGGGCATGAACCAAATGTTCAACAACTAGGAGTCAGAAAGGAACTTGCCCTGGGGTCAGGTTACCCCATAAGTGACATTGCAGGGTTCTGGCCACCGTTACAGACAGGATTTTGGCCCAGAAGGTACACCGTACAGTGCTAGCCACTATATTCCACTCAAACCACGTCTATTCACAGGACA